GCCCCGAGACCACCTGATCTGGTCGGCGTTCAGCACCCTCTACCTGAACCTGTGCTGCCTGGGCTTCCTGGCGCTGGCCTACTCCATCAAGGTGCGCAGGGGCTTCGGGCCGTCCCTGTGGAGGCGGGGTGGTCTTGGGGCGCCCCCACCCCGGCTGGGGCAGAGCAGGGCTGCCAGGGAGTTCTCCAGCCCTGCCCCCCTAGGGCTGCGGAACCCCCAAGGAAGGGGCTGTCCTGGAGACGTCCCAGCCCCCGGGGTGCTGACCCGTCCCCCGAGGGTTCTCCTCCACCCAGAGGCCTATGAGTCAAGGCTCCCTGGCTCAACTCCTGTGGGGGGGCATCCACACCCCACAGGACTCCCCACCTACAGGGCCCGGGAGGCCGCTGCTGACCCACAAGGGCCACCGGGCCGGGGCTGCTCGGGGGAGGCCCTGCCCGAGCCAGGGGGCAGGCGAGAGTGTGACTCCACGCCCAGCCCGTCCCGGCACCCGGTGTCCAGTCCAGTCCGCGCGCGCTGGGGCCCTCTGCCGGGCTGCCCTGGGCACCGGTGGAGACCCTGCTGCCTGGCCCCCAGGCCCGAGACCAGAAGGCCGCGGGGGACCTGGAGGCGGCCCGGCGACTGGGCTCCAGAGCCAGGTGCTACAACATCCTGGCCGCCATGTGGACGCTGGTGCCCCCGCTGCTGCTGCTGGCCCTGGTGGTGACCGGCGCCCTGCACCTGTCGCGGCTGGCCAAGGACTCCGCCGCCTTCTTCAGCACCAAGTTTGACGACTCAGACTACGACTGACCCCGAGGTTGGGCCCTGCCCCTCCGGGGACCCCAGCCCAGATGCCAGCCCCGGTCCTGGGCTCCACCCGCCTCCCGAAGCCCCTGCCTGCCGGGCACCTCCTGGGACCCCAGCTTGCGTCCCCTCCCCTTAGCCCTGCCCAGCCGGGACCCTCGCTGGCCTGCCCCTCACCAGGGCAGCCTCGATGTCACGATTAAAGCGCCTGGTTCCATAAGGTGTCTCCTGCACTGCTCTCCTGGCCCCTGGCGGGGTGGGGGTCTCCCCGCCAGGCTCCCCCGCCCCCCTGTGGCTTCTGGGGCGGAGGCATGCATGTCTCAGAGGCATGTGTGCGAACCCAGCTTTTGATCTCGGCCTGCGGCTTGGCGGCCGCCTTCTGGGTCCTCTCCGGCCCCACGGCCAGCCAGGCCTGCGGGCACCTCGCCCTGTGGAGGCCCCTGTGCTGGCCTCGGGCCGCACACCGCGAGCAGGGCCCCACAGCGGCGTCTGAGCGTCTGGGGAGCACCCCCCGAGCACCAGGAATGTCTGTGGTCAAACACACCCCCGCGGCCGCGGGGCCAATGACAGGGCGGGCTAACTGCAGAGGCCGAGGCTGTGGGCCAGGCTGGGGGGGCGCCACCCGGGCCCCCCCAAGCCTGGGCTGGGGGTGGGCGGCGCCTCGACTTGCGGCCCCAGGGGCACCCCGCCTGGGGTGGCCAGCAGTTGGCCCAGCCCCCAACCCCCAGAGCCAGCAGAGGTGGCGCAGCTCCCACACCCCACATGCCTGCTGCCCACGCAGCCCTGGGGGGGGGTGCCGGTGGGCACACTGGCCCCCACCGGTCACTGAGGCCACAAAGATCCGGGGTCACAGGCTAACACATGGACTTGCCAGCCTGAGCTCCAGTCCAAGAAGGGGTGACTTGTACTGGACATTGCAGCTGGGACTTGGGTTCATGTGCCGAGTGGGGAGCTCTGCGGGGCCCCATCTGGTGAGGTGCAGAGATCGCCCTGCCAGGCAGGAGGAAAGGTCATTGGCAGCCCCATCCTGCTGCTGGCCCTGTCTCCTGGCCAGGGGGGCCCGTCAAGATGGCCCCCGCATACACAGGCAGCCCCTGCAGGCCGCGTGGACGCAGGACCCCCGGGCCCCGAGGGCAGGGCCGCCCATCTGACTCCGGCCAGGCCAGGACGAGGAGGCCGCCTGAGGGAGGCCGC